GGATGCCGCTGTAAAAGACCCGTTTCCCTTACGAGCGACACGGTAGTCGTGACGCCCCGCAGCAATCCCTCCAAGCTTGGGGTGCCCTGCCTGAACGTCTCATAGCCCGGTCGGTGACACCCCCGGGACAAGCGGTATGCTTCGCGTGCTTCCCTGTCGGGATAGGATGCAAGGGGAGCACCAAGCCCGTGCTAGGAGTAGATAACATACATGAACTGCTGTGGTGCGCACTCTCCGACAACTTTACCGTGCGTTGCGTATGTGTCGGCAGCTTCTACAGCCATGCGTGAATGAGCAGTATCCGTTCTGCGGATGTATACCCCGCTTGCGTGCGTGCGTCCATGGCTCCGTTTCAGGCGACCACGAGTGCCTTCAGTGCGGATTCGTGTACAAGCCGGAGAACGCCGGTCAGGGCGCGTTGCCGGGCACGCAGTTCGACGACCTTCCCTCCACTTGGATCTGCCCCGTGTGCAAGGCGCCCAAGGTAGACCCCCGGAGAAGCGACGTTGACCCCCACGCTCTCACCCACCCGAGGCGGCACGCGCATCTTGTGTACATACATGCGGTCGAGACCTTCCGTGATCCTTGTCGTTTTTTTGTTGCATTGGTATCACCTCCCAACGGGGGTTAGAAACCAACCACACCACTGCCGATTCAGATATCGATATCCTGTGGTATGTGGTGTGTAAAAATGTGTCCTTTCGTTTTTTTGTTTCGGTTAGCTTGTGTTTCTCTATGCTACCCAGTCCGTTACGTCACCTGTGTTGTTTGTGCCCCAGGCGTACGCCATCCTTGTGGATTATTACCGATCTCCCTAGTTGGACTGCTGACACGCAAATATTGGCACCTATCCCTCTAGCTTCTTGGCCACCCCCCCCCCCCGCGGCGCTTCAATCCTCATGGCGCAATTTTGCGTTGCTGTGTTTTTCGCGTTTTCGCAGGACACATTCTTCGCGCAAACAAAAACAATAGCNGGCCCCCCCCCCCCCCCGCGGCGCTTCAATCCTCATGGCGCAATTTTGCGTTGCTGTGTTTTTCGCGTTTTCGCAGGACACATTCTTCGCGCAAACAAAAACAATAGCAGGGTTCGAGGATAACGCCAACTACGGTTTCGGCGCGAATCAGATGACGGGTTCGCAGAAAAACCTTCTCATCTTCGGAGGTCTCTTCGCGTTTTTCGTTCTGTTCCTTGCGGGATACGCCTTGGATTAAGTAGATCATAGTCGCTACGCCGCCGTTGACGGGCGTCGCTGCTGTTGACATTAACTGATGGATCGACAGCCCCAGCGGGATATGTTAGGTGGCGCTCGTTTGCGAAAGGTGTGGAGTATTTTACCTCTGGTGGTGTGCGACAAGCGAGGCGAGACTGGAGAGAAGAGAGGTGTACTTGGCAGACGTCGCCACCACACGCGAACGCTACGGAGCCTTCAGCCGATCTGTGATGAAAGCTTTTGCGGCGGGGGGATGATGTGTGCTACTCTGTACATTGCAGCAGCGCTTCTCTCGTCGTGTTCGCGATCTACTTGGTGTCGCTCCTTGCTCGTGTTTACATCCTCTGATGATGATTCAGAAGTGGTTATGGTAGAAAAGTGCCCTCGCACACCGAGTTTTGCAGAGAGAGAAGAGAGAGAAACGACCGCGATTTTGTGAGCGCCAGCACGAGTGATTCTGTGCATGTTTTGGCAGGTGTCGAGCAGCTTTTAGTTTGTGAATATACAGTGGGTTCCATTCTTTTGTTCGTCGCGCCCGAATGACATGATGATGGGAGATGGTAGATAGCGCTCTGTCAACATGTCGCCACTGGCAGTAGTACGAACGCGAGCGAACTTACCCTGTTGTTGGGGGGGTAAAGGAGCATGGATGTTGTGGCTCGTGATTCGTTTCCCAGAGTGGGCGAGGCAAAAGGCACACACAATCATCATCCCCCCAAGTTTCTGCACGATAAAAACTACTTGACTTCAGCGACAGTCTGCATCCGGGAAGCACAATTGGTACAAGTAGGTTCGTTCATGACTCGAGTTTTACGTCAAGTCTGTCAAGAAACCACGGGACAGAACATTTGCTTTGGGGACTAAATCAAGTGTGGCAACACTTTGGCTCCGGGCCGAGGACTGCAGCTGGCTGCAACCCCCCCCCCCCCCCCCCCCCCCCCCCCCCCCCCCCCCCCCCCCCCCCCCCCCCCCC